CGATCCCTTCCCTCGAAACCTCCCCTCCAATCCCCCCTCAATTCTCAAAACGCTAGCCTCGCGATCCCTTCCCTCGAAACCTCCCCTCCAATCCCCCCTCAATTCTCAAAACGCTAGCCTCGTTCCATCACCCAACCCTAGATCTGCACCCCCCTCGCCTCCTCAGATTCAAGATCGAGGGATCAATTCGTGAAGTTTGTGGGGGGAGCTCAAACCCTAGGCTCGTTTCAACACCCGCTCCCAGATCTGGACCTACCGTCGGTTGAAATTTGTTCCATTAAATTCTAGATCTTAGAGAGAAGTCGAGATGCATTCGAGGTCGGCGCAGTCGTCGTATAGAGATCGGACGCAGGAGTTTCAGACGGCGACGGAGAGACTGAAGAAGTCGATCCCCTCTCATCAACCGGACGCGCAGTTTGGCAACTCCGCTGTGAACGCGGCCGAGGGGCCGAAGTCGTCGGGGGTCTCGGTTCACTCCGAATTCAACAAGAGAGCTTCCAAGATTGGTCTTGGGATCCATCAGACCTCCCAAAAGCTCGCCAAACTGGCGAAATGTAAGTGGGAATGCTACAATTTTGGCCAATATTTCGCTTAATGTGCATGCTGTTATTCTTATATACAGTTATATGAATAAATAATTTAGGAAGCGGAGGAGCTGAATTTTCTGTATATAGATCGCTCAAAGGGCCCATTTGGCTGCACTGGATGACTTGCATGTGCAAATAGAGCATAAGAATCATATAGAATTGCAGTTTGGTTCCTGCTGTTTGATTTCTGGTTTTCGGGGCCTTTTCAGGTTCATATTGTTCTGTTGGATGTCTATGCAAATGGATTTGGTATTTTCTCTTATAATGAATAAGATTGTGATTAGATTCTTAAGTGAAGGTGAACACCTTTTTCCAATCTGAGGAATTGAAGTTAAAATGGTCTATTCACTAATTTGTAGGTGAAAGCGGAGAAACATAATTCCAAATGGATTTGGTATTCCTTGATTATGAGAAAGCTAACATTGTCATTAAGTCAAGTTACTCAAATCCAAGAATAGAATGCATTTTGATGCTAATTAGAGTGATTTATCATTATCAAAAAAATTTGTAATGTTTTGTGCGAGAAGAGGACATAAGCTTATAATCTCAGTTAAAGAAGTCTATATTTTGCGTCCTTTCTCGTACAAAAAAAAGTCTATATATTGAGTGCTTTATTAAGTGCAGAAGCGATGAGGAGTTCTGGGTTTTGAATATTCCTATGATATTGGAGGTTCTAAGTTTGCACTTGACTTCTTTCCTGGTGCATTGGTTCAGCGTGCTGAGGGGATGTTATAAATCTAAAAAAAAAGCTCCCCGGTCTTTCAGTTGTGTTTTTTTAAGAGAAATTAGCTCTTTTTTTTTTGTCTTTTCTAGATGGCACTACTTAATAAAGGAGCGTTTTGTAACCTTATTAGCTGACTTTGTTACGTATAAATAGTTTTGAAAGTCAGAGATTGCTAATTGATAAATTAGTTCCAGAGATAGTTTCAATTGAGAATTGGTAGTATGTAAAGGAGAAAATGAGGTTGAGCTATGAAAAGGAAAGACAGATATTTGGGGCTGCAAAAATTAGTAATTGCTGAGACATGTGAAACTACTATTTAAATATTAGTATTGATGTCAGTAATTAAGTCATAGATATAGAATCATCTTGAACTCAGTTTAGGTTTTTTTTTAAGAAACTTATTGTAATGTACATTAAACTTCCTATAGATGCACTGGCTCCTTATTGTGGCACTCAAGATATGATAAGACATGTCTCCATAAAAAGTTAGAGGTTCCAATTGAAGACAAAATTAAGGAGACTATATGTATATGTGTAATGAGGCCGTTAAATGGTTTGATTAGGAATGATGAAGCATGGTTGATGAACATAGGTAGACTAGGGCTTGACCTAGAAGAACATGGATTATTGTGATTGTAAAAGATATGTCTGTTATTCCTTTAAGGAAAAAGAGGACTCTTGACAGAGATGAATGGAAAAGACTTCATGTCGCCAACTGAATATTTCACAAAAATGAAGAGTTTGATGTGTTTATTGTTGTCCTAGCATAAGGTCAAGGACATGTACTGAAGTTATCTAACCTAATCATGATTGGTGTTTCTCTTACAAGTGTGTAAAGGCCCGCCTTTCTCAGCTTATGTAAGTAACTCACTATGTTGTTAAAGCCGTATCTATTTCTGACAGCCTTGTTTTTTTTACTGATTATATGACCAATATTCATTCACCTCTTGGACAACATAATACTAACATGTTGTGATAGACAAATAGATGGTTAAAGCTTTTTTAGGCTCTTGTTCTTTCATTATTCATCATTATCAATAAGAAGCCTAATTTTCCTCCTTTTAGATTTGTTTTTTTTGGGAAAAAAGCTCATATAAAGCGAATCTCATCTCATCAACTCTCAATTGTTTTGTATAATATTTGTACCATGTTTTTTAAATTTTTATACATTCAACATATTTTGCCTGTGCTTTCAGAAAAGTTCCGGGCAATTTTTTAACCTTTAAATATCATTGTGGTCACCCTCTCGGTAAGAATGATTGTGGCTTAGGAGAACCAATAGACCTACTGGTTATTCATAAATATGAGAAAAGCATCAATTTGTGAACCCTGCAAGTACTCTGTTAGCAAAGCTGCCAATAGGTCAATGATGTTGATCATTGCATCATGTATATTTGTTTCTAATTCTTAAGGATCTAGGTATCAAGATATTGAGCAGCCTCTTTTCGTTTTCCTTTTTGTTTTCTTCTGAACATAGTGCAGCTACCTTTTGAGGCTGAATTCTTTTTCCCCCTTTCTATGCAGTGGCAAAGAGAACATCGGTTTTTGATGATCCAACTGTTGAGATACAGGAACTTACAGCAGTCATTAAGCAAGATATTACAGCTTTAAATTCTGCAGTTGTAGATCTGCAACTTCTCTGTAATTCGCAGAATGAAACTGGCAATATATCCAATGACACTACCAGCCATTCAACTACTGTGGTTGATAATTTGAAGAACCGTTTGATGAGTGCAACGAAGGAGTTCAAAGAAGTCCTAACCATGCGGACAGAGGTACAATGAGATCTTTTGCTCTACTCATATTGAGTTAGGTATATGTATATGTATAAAAGCTAACCCAGCTGTATGTTAAATTTGCAGAACATGAAGGTTCATGAGAACAGAAGACAACTGTTTTCATCTTCAGCAACAAAAGATTCTACAAATCCTTTCATTAGGCAACGTCCTTTGGTTTCGAGGGGATCTGCTGACTCAACTGCACCACCAGCACCCTGGGCAAATGACTCAGCTTCTTCTTCTTCTTCTCAGTTGTTTCCCCCTAGGTAATGTTGTCTGCAAAATGATATTTACTTATTTCGTTAAATTTAAATTTTAGGTCCATACAAATTTAATATAATAGCTAAATGGAGAGATGATACATTTTATCTTTTTTTTTGTTGGGCTAACAAAAGCTAAATGATGGTCCGAAAATTATTCCATGATAATGCTGACATAGTCTAACTCTCTAAACGATTGTTTACATGTAATTTTCCCATAGATAGGTATCTGCAGCATTAATATTTTTTAATACGGATGTCCTCAAAATGGTAATCAATTCCGGTTGTTTAGGATCAGTTAGTTTCATAGATATGACAATGTTTTGTATATTTTTGAAACTGAGCTATGTGAGACTATTTTGTTTTTAATGAGTTTTGACTCTGGCACTTTTACATGCCTTAACTCACCCTAGGTGAAACAATTTTCTCTCTCTCTTCCCCCACAAAAGTTGCAACTATTTCGTACAGTATCCAACTCTATTTCCTATAGAATTTCTATGAACATTCAAATGTGATGAGTATATGACATTAATTTTCTTCTGTATTGTCAGGAAAAAGGGCAATGGTGATACACAGCCTTTGCTGCCGGGTCATCATCAGCAGCAGCAGCAGCAACAGCAAATGGTTCCAGTACAGGATACTTACATGCAGAGCAGAGCCGAGGCTCTTCAAAATGTTGAATCAACCATTCATGAGCTCAGCAATATCTTTACACAACTGGCTACCATGGTTTCCCAGCAAGGAGAGCTTGCCATCAGGTTTTCTTCTTTTCCTTTCTGATATAAACAGAAAATTGATGAAAGTTTCACTTGTTATTTCGATTCTTCACTTTTGATTCCGGGGTTCTGTCATCATAATGTAATGCATGAAAATTTACTATTTAAAAAATCCTGATCATTGTAGCTTATGTTATTTATGAAGTCAACAGATTGTCAGATTGGCCGTACTCATAAGAACTTCAAGTTGATGATGGGACATTTATCAATTACTGTTGAACGAAGTTAGCAGTTCTGATGAAGGGTGCATGTGAATGCATATACAAAGAGCTTATTTATCCTTTCTTTTAGGGTTAATTGCGGATAGACACCCTGTAGTTCTATTGCCCAAGTGCGGGTAGACCCTTAAGTGACTTTTTTCTCTCTTTTATCTAAGAGGGGGGAAATATTCCTTCTGGGTGTCTATCCGCATTTGGGACCAGTAGAACTACAGGGGGGCTATCCGCAATTAGCCCTTTCTTTTACCGTATGCTTAGATTCATGGGATTATATTTTGCTGTAGTGTATTTTATGATGAAGTATCCTCTGTTTGCTGTATCGTTAGCTAATAGGAAACAGTGCCTATAGGTTGACAAAGCTTAAGCAGTTATACCATTTCAATTAACCATGGGCTTTGATTTCTCGAAACTACTAAACTTCTTTGTCGGTTAATATTTGATTACAATCATGTTAATTTGCTGCGTGAAACACTTCAAACCTGAACATTTTGAAAAACCACAGGATTGACGAGAATATGGATGACACATTAGCGAACGTGGAGGGAGCACAGGGCCAACTGCTGAAGTACCTGAACGGCATATCCTCTAACCGATGGCTGATGATTAAGATATTCTTTGTACTCATGGTTTTCCTTATGATTTTTCTATTTTTTGTCGCATAATTTGTTTACAAGGTCAACGCCGTAAAGTTTCTACTGTCTGTAATCCATACATAGTAATTTTCTTTTGTCAATATTGTTTCCCATGTCCACGCTTGTGGGGTTAATAAAGCAGCTTGATGAATTGTTTGTTATGCGTTTATTATTGATGAGAATGAGGATGAATGATATGATTTGCTTGCGTTGTTGCTTCTTCCTCGTTATTTTTTCCTTCGTTCTGGGTTTTAACTTTTATGTCATAAGATTAGTTATATCCGACCTGTGCAGAAATTTTTTTTAGTAAGGATTCTATCGCAACACTCTCTTTATAGAAAGGGATAGTCTACATCATTACGAGTAGTTATAGAGGATTAGTTTGGGAATTTTAACTTCTCTATTGATGGTATCAATCCTAGTAGTTTTGATAGGATCACGACCGGAAATTTTGTGCTCGTTATGTTGAATTATTGCCAAAATGCTTATTTGCAGATGCAGTTCATCACCTTCTCATACGTAATACGTTGCATCAAATCATAAAAGAAAAACATCTTTTTAATATTAGTCCCTCGAATCGTTCAACGCTTCAAATTAGGCACCCAAATCTTCATATTTTGAACTTAGTCCCTCAAATCTTTTATATTATGAGATCAGCCCACAAATATGTTAATTGTTTTGCAATTAGCCCCCCAAAATTTTTTTAACCCGATGTTAGCTAGATGAACTAATTTCAGAACACTTGAAAAGGAGTTGGGGGACTAAATTCAAAATATGAAGACGTGTGGGGACTAATTTCAACACAATTAAAGATTTGGTGGGATTAATTTCAAAATAAGAAAGGCTTGGGGGACTAAGATCAAGAAAGCCATAAAAGGAAAAGAAACAGAGTTATCTTAAGACTAGATCCAAGGGAAGCTTTGTGCCAAAGATCAAGCCGTCAAAAACACTGATCTAGCACAAAGAAAAGAAAAAAAAGACCGAGCGAGGGATTCTGAGCATTCACGAAATCATCCACCGACAACTCGCATGTAAGGTTAGGAACCATAACTCCAGCGTGCAAATATTACTTGAAAGGGCAATCAACAATTAGTAACAATTAGTAACAAATAATAGGCAGCAGTTGCGACTCTCATCATTCTGAGATTTATCTCCCTAAAAACATAATACTTCGCACCGATAACAGAACTGTTGACAATAAACACCTTGAGAAAAACCTGCGCATGCATACACAAATAATATTGACTTCTACAAGAAAAACATTGTCAACTTATTATAACCAAATACATCAAATCAGGGAAAAGAGAACTGTATGACCCTATATTCCATCAAAACTAGGTTACAATATATATCCCTAGACGCATACACTGGGCATATACAACAGGATGAGACCCAAATATTACAATATAATGTTGTTATTACCTTAATCATGTACACTATAAACACAAAGTGAAACTTCTAAGTACCGAACTCCTTTAGTCATGGAAGGGTGCAGGCTGAGAATTTCACAACACGTGATGCTGGCACCGAAGCCTGATTCTTGGACCCTAAGAGATGCAGGGTCAGGATTTGACTTGAAGAGCTTGAGCACCTTCAAGGTTATAAAAAGCATTTTGATGCAGATATGAAGAATTTCCGCTGTGCAAAAGACAACTATATATATGCAAGAGAATTCCGATCACTAGCAGATTGTGGTCTTCCTCGAGTAGGAGTAGGTGGTCTTTGAGTGTTGAGCTCCTGCAAAAGAAAGAAGGAAAAAAGAAAAAAGAAAAAAGAAAAAAGAAGGTCATATTGATGTGAGCGCTTCTAGTATTCTACTTCAGACTCGAATAGCTTGGCGAAAAACAGCCTCTGTTACAAATTACCAAATTCTTCCAAGTACTGGTTTCATGAAATTTACCAAAATCTCGAGCTTAATTGTTAACTTCATGAACTCATTGGTCAACATTGTTCTGACTTCAAGTTAAACTTAAACAAAATGAAAATTATAATAACTTGATATTTCTTATTATTTTGAGATGTGGCTAATGTTACGATAATATTTCCTAAATGAGGGTAAAGTTTTTATAAAGAGCATTATCACCCTCCAGACCAGATATAGGTAGTAAGGTTAAGCGTGTCATGGACAAAGATTAGCGCTAGCTGAGTCGTCGGTTACGCGCAAGTACTCACCCACAACAAAATTTCAGATTCAAACAGAACCATGATTGAAGTGATTATCTGTTGAAAGGTTGACACCTTGTGACATGGACGATGAACTCAGGTATAGTTGTGTGTGCATGTGTGCACAATTTTTGAATTCCGAGTAATTTGATAAGTGAAACTTCTATGGATGAAACTAAAAATGATACAGTTGGAGAATCTATAGATCTCACCTGCATCCACGTGTCATCCGAAACACGCTCCGGTGATGACTCTGGTGAGTGTAGGGGTGGAGGGAGTGGATGAATCAACTTTGGAACAATGACTAAGCCCCTACCAACCACCAGTATTGCCCCAGCATTATTTGCAGTCCCTGAAACACAATGATACCATTTAGGTTTTATCAAATAATGTTGCGCAGAGCTATAGAACAAAGATAAGGAATTGAAAAAAAATGCATATGTACCGCAGTAATTAGTTGCTGAAAACAGGGTAATTAGCTGCCCTTGTGCAAACCGTTCAAATCCATCCATCACACATTCATGAGCTCGAATTATAAGTTGCAGTTTGTTCCTCTTACAGAAATCAGTAACCCTGTCAGGCTGCAAGTTGAGAAAGACTTTAGAATGAAAGAGTTAAAAGGATGAAAACATATCTTAAACCATGGAAACAAACAGTTATAATGAGGCGCTTAAGCTTGATAAAGTGGTGGTTATCTGACAATTATAGACAAAGACCCAAGCAAGATGCAGGCACTACGCATTTGTTTGTTGTTTACATAAATACATCTAACTAGCTTCAGTTGCACATCACATTAGTATTATACATTGGGAGTATCACATTCTTTTTATATACGGTTAAAAAATTCGCTAAAACTTGTTCTTTCCTGGCCATTAACCTATACAATGCAAACTTCAATATGTCTATTTAACCATTTAAAGCAGAACACTTAATTTTACAACAGAACGCTGAGCTCTCTGTTTGTTGCACAGCGCCACCCATCAGCTTTTCCAACAAGTTTGACAGGATTCCTTGAAAATTTAAAGTCTCTTTCCAATACACCCAATTCATTTCCAATATTCAACTTTTTAAATGATCTTACATTGGGACAGGAAACAATTCAAGAACATGAATTAACCCCTGAACACCAATTGTAGGCAGTGTACATTAATATGATAGAACTAGTTTCCATTATTATGTGTGGAAAATACATGCCAGCAATTAACTTCATAAGTAATCAGGACCAAATAAAACCACAAAACACCTAACATAAATAATACAAGCATACCCCAAATGTGACTAAACCAGGTCCTCTGGCGTTTGGTCTCAATCCCTCTATACTATCATTTTCTGTGGGGTCTGACCTGCAATTTAAATAATAATTTAACAAAATAGAATAAAAAACAACAGGCGATGATGGTAATAACATGGAAGAGGTTTACCATAGAAGGTCCATTAGGATGATGGATCCAACATCCATAGTTATGGGTCTTTCGAGCTTCTCTATTTGCTCAACAGAGTTTATCGACCTCCCTATGCCCCCATGCATGCATATAATTTTCTTCTCAATTAGAGCAGCAAGAGGCAGGTAATTAAAAAGTTGATTGAATCGGTTCCACACCCATATCCCATCGCTTTCCCCCTGTAAATTTCTGATGAGTATCTTAACTCCATTAAAAGAAAGACTTATCTTTGCATCATACCATTCTCTCGATGCATTCAAGACGGAAACCAAATAGAGCATTGATGTCAGCAGCCTCATGGTTCCCCCGGATCAGGTGGACATTCTCTGGATATTCTATCTGTTAAAATGTTAAAATATTAATGACAGTGTTGAACGCCTATGATAAAAAATAAGTTAGTTGCAACAGTAATCTTAGCCAAAGCTGCCAAACTTTTTACCTTAAGAGCAAGAAGCAAGGTTATTGTTTCAAGGCTGTGTTGCCCACGGTCAACATAGTCTCCCAAAAACAAATAATCAATATACCTGGATCATTAAAAGTCTATTAATATTGAATTGTAAGTTCCAAATTCAACATCACAATCACTCTTCGTTTAGATAATGCTTGTGCAAGTTTGCACATGTTTGTGCAGTGGTGACGAGTGTTTATAGCTTGTCATGGACGCTACTCTGTATGTCTGCAAATCAACATCAATGGAAGGAAAAAGATGGAGAGAGACCTCTATGAAGGAACCTTATTTTACCCGTGTGAATTGAAATGTTCAATCATGTAAGGTTTGATCCCTTCCATCTCAGTTAGATGTGGGCTTCCAGGCCCTTCAACTTAAAAGAAACAAGATAACTAGTGAAATACTGGTTGAGGCTCGAAAAGTTATGGAGTGCCTTTGACCAAGTGGACCAAGAATCAGAATGGAGAAAACTTTAAAATAAGCCAATAGAAAAGTTAAAAACAAGCCAACTAATTATTCCGCCAATTCTACCAGCTGAAAAGGCATGCATATATTAGTTAATGACAAAAGCAATATTATCATGCAGGTATTCTGTATCTGACGGTTGTCTTAATTAATAGCTGACTGGAGCCCAGCATGACAACCGGTATCTTCAGCACACAGGTACATTTTTTCGCCCTGAGGCTTGTTTTAACACCTATTTTTCATAGCTTAGAACATCCTCTTATATATTGCATTCAATTTGACCATTTATTGCCTTGCAAGAGTCACCACAATTGAGCAATATCCAATAGTTAGCTTTCCATCTATGTAGTTAATTATTCTGGCGCCTTAAACAAAAATTTCGAATTTTTTCCTCCCCTTTATGCATTTTAGCAAACAAAGACAACTAGACCATGACTGGAACACTTATATAGCTAACCATAAAGCTGAAGTTATTAATACCCTCAAGACCCATGTGACTTTCCTTTCTACCTAGTTTCCATATAGGCAGTCTCCTTTATTACCATCTCTAGCAGAAAAACTACCAGTAGTAAAATGCAAAATTGATTCAAAATCATTTTGCACAGCATAGTAGTTTCCATGAGAGAAGGTTAAAAAACTCAGAACAGAACATATTCAGGCTCAACTTACGTAATATCACCAGCTGTTGATGGGAAACCGTACTCATCAAATAGACGCATAAGATCACCAAACTGACCATGAAGATCACCAAATACTTTTACAGGTGCTTTCAGTTGTAGAACGGTGGGCTCCTGCATAAAAATCTGCTCAGCAGCATAACAAAGCTCACCAACTTCATATGCATCAAGGAAAAAGCTTCTGTTTGCAGGACTTTTCCAGTTTCTTGGCCTGAGTAGGAAGGAGATAATCTGCAGGAAGAAGAACTCAGTAAAACAATGCAACACAATGATAAACACATCAAATTCTGTCAAATCCCTGCCTTTTTATGTAAGCCCTGTGGAGACTTCTGCCTATTCAAGAACTTCTTAGGTGGATAAACTTGGTCACCGTTTGCAGGATTCACTCTTCTACCCTCATTTTCAAATTGTTCTAAAGAAAGTTGCCGTACTAGACCTCCCAGATTACCAACAGCCTCTTTAGCCACCACTACCTGAAACATAACAATAGTTATAGGAAGTGTCAGATTCAAGATATTGGAAGAAATTTATATTTAACAAAAGGTTACAGTATATTACCGCTCGAGGATGCAATCTAACATCACGTTCAAGTCCATCGTTAATATCTGAGGTCTCCGATTTTTCATAGGCTTGAGGAGAAGCTTCGTTATCATCTGAAAGACCTTTTTCTGATGCTTCTCTTGCCGCTTGCCAAACTGCACTTGCAGCCTCGGCTTCAGCAGTAGAAGCCTGAACTAGTTTGTCAATTGACTTCTGGTCCAAGCTGGTAAAAAGTAATTTTCAGTCACCTTTCAAGTTTCAGGAAACTCTTCAATTTAGTAATAAAATAAGGGGAAAAAAGAAGATAACAGAATGAAACCTTGAACCACCAGATGAGCCTCTCTCTGGTATACTATCCAAAGATGGTTGCTCAAGCTTGTGATTTGTCGCAGATGGGGTACTGTTAATACTGTACATGGAGGAATCAATTTCAGATTGGAAAGGTGCATTTTCCGCCACAAGAAAATCATCGAGTAGAATATCTGCAAAATGAAAAAAAAACCAGAAAGCAATATTAAGCACGGCACTAAGTTTCAAATTTATGTGATCACTTCTGATCAGAATAATCCAACTAATGCAGAAGAACTAGTGATTCATTTCACATACACACTCATAAGAAGTCATTTAGCAATTCTTTACCCAACAAGTGAACAAGAGTGCAAACATTTCTAAAACCCATCATCTAATGTCAACCATGCCTCAGCTTATGCCTACTATAAATGACAATGACCTGGTGGTGCATTATTCTGTTAGCATCTGACGGTTACATGCCAGCTCAATAACCATAGTATCATATAGGTGGGTGAAGCTGATTAATGGATTGTACCTAGTTCTACACCCAAAATGCCCGCCTAGACCTAAATGGTACCTAGGCCACCTGCCTAGGGCTTTGGAATGCCTAGGGAAGCGTGGGCCGCTTATGTGGACTGCACAGCTTAGGTCTTAGTCGGAATTTCCTCCGTTGCAGCCTCCACATCCTCCAACCTTCTCCAAAATCTTTCAGCCTCCTCCACCAACTATGAGCACATCCTCCACCTCTTCTAACCTTCAACAAAAACCCTTCCACCAATTAAACGAAGAAAGAAATCCGTCAAGGCACCAGTCCGAAGCTAACATTGACATTTATTATTAATTGTTGTAAATAAAAAATTAAAAAATAAGAAAACCTCCTAGGTCCTGTCTAAGCTCTAGGCGCTAGGTCCGGTGCCTTGACCGCCTTGTAACTTTGTCAACACCTCATTATCAACTAATTATTTCTTTAAAAATGAGGCTTGATACAGAGCGCATGTGCCAAACAGTGAGAATCAAGAAAGCTTCAGAAAAGAATTGAGCATAATGACAATAGTCAAAAGATATCAACCTCAATGAAATGATACTCACGTCTTTGCTTGACAGCTACTGAGCAAGAATACTGCCTAAAAATTTTCAACTCAAGTTGGCGGTTGGAGTCTACCTTCTGTGGTCAAGCAAGCCATGACTAAATTACATAGATTTATCACAAAAATGTTTCAGTGCCGAAGTGCCGAAATTACTAGGTGGCTAACACAGTGAGGTTTGATGCAGTAACCAGATGGGCAACCAGAACTGACAGGCTGAACATATTGATCCTGTAGGAGTTTAGTGGGTACGATTTTACATGACTATGATCAGCCCATAATACAGAAAATAAAAAGACCATTTACATTATTAATGATATGGGTGTATCTTCTTCCTTACTTCGGGAGCATAGCGATCCTCATAAGAGCTTGAAGATAGATGATTCTCATGGTATCTTGAGAATAGAGACACGGACGAAGTCGTTGAAAGCGGCAACGTCGAAGATTACAGGGAAAGACTGCAGGAGGCATTTTGAACTTCCAGCGGTCGACTGCACGCGACGACGCGGTCAACCGTGAACGTGCACAGCGCAGAGAAAAGTCTCTGGACTTTCTGCGGTCTACCGCGACGGTTTCCTAGGCCTTCCTGGTTCGTTTGGGACTCTGTTTTCCTGTTGATTTTGGTTTGTTTAATTACAAGTTTGTCATCCACGTTGTAAACTATATAAATAGAATTGTTTTAGGGTTCTAAACAATCATAAATCAGAGAAAGAGATAAGAGGTGAGATTCTAATTAAGAGATTAGGGTTTAGAGAGAATTCAGAGATTGTTCCTAATTCTAAAGAGATTGTGAGAGAGAGGGATTTGTAATCTATTATTCTCATAATCTATTTTTCTTCGCCTAAAACTGAATTGTTCTTGTGTTTTTCTATCGTCTTCTTCACAACCCACTCTTGGTAATTCCACGATCAAGGGTGCTCGTCTGGCGACTCGTACCAAGTTGGTATCAGAACAATCAGATCCTATGAAGGAAGAATCCTATGTATGGTCCTCACTCGACCGCAATACAAGAAGCTAGGCGAAATCCTTATTTCTTTGGAAGGAGATCAGAGATTAAGGAAGAAGAAAATGACTGAAGGGGATAATTCAACAAGACTAGATGTATTGGAGAAACAAATGGAGGGAATGGGTTCGACTCTCACACAGCTCGTCAATCTTTTCCAAGAAAAGAACAAAAATAAGGAATCTTCTTCGAAAGACAAGAAGAGACTTGTAGAGTCCGACGGGGAAGACGAGGAATCTGATTTTGAAGAGGAGACCGAAATTATCAAGACTGTTCCATATCAAAAGGGTAAGGGTTCTTACTAGAATTTAAAAATAGACTTCAAAGTGAAGATTTCTGTTTATAATGGGAGTGTCAACGTCGAGAGACTCGATGATTGGATCCAGCAGATGGAGACATATTTTACCCTCTACGGATATTCATCCAAGGAGAAACTAGTGTTCGCGACTTTGAAGCTTTCGGGACATGCATTGACATGGTGAAAATCTTATTATAATCAGGAAAAGAAGGCGGTATCTTGGAATAAGTTCAATGAGTTATTGATGAAACAATTCTACCCGGTAGGATTCCTTAAGGAGCGTTGGTACAAGTGGTACGGCTTGCGTCAAAGAGTCAATCAAACCGTTCAAGAATACACCACGGAGTTCCAGCAACAGACCATGGTCCTCAACATTACGACGAAAGAATATTCTGTGTTTATGAAGTATATGACGGGATTGAGCGATTACATCCGGAAAGAGATGAAGTTATTCACGGTGGATTCTATTGCAGAGACGAGCGTGAAGGCTATTGCCATCGAAGGTAAGCAAAAGAAGAGCAACGAGGCAAATGGAGATGCAAAACAAGCTGAAGGCGGGTCTAGTGGTTCTCAATCTAAGGAGGAAAAGAAGAAAAGTGATCCAAGGAAAGCAGGGCTGATTTGTAATCATTGCGAAAAGACAAGACACGTAGCTGATCGGTGCTAGGAGAAGTATCATCATCTCAAGCCAAGAGGGTTGAAGAATGAGGAAAAAAAGACATACGTGATAGCTCAAGTTCCGAAAGAAGTCCCTGGGATGACAGAACCCAACAACAGTCTCAACCTTATGATGGAAAAACAGATCACGAAAGAGGACGACGACCCTATAGAGCAGCTCTTTGTTCTTAAGTTGCAGGTGAAGACCAATTTGATAGATGCCATCGTTGATCCAGACAGCGAGAAGAATTTGATATCCAAGACCTTGGTTCAGAAGCTGGGTCTGAAGATAGTCAAGCATCCAAAACCTTATCCATTAGGGTGAATTCAGAAGGAAACGGGACTGAGTGTAATTGATTAATGCATTTTCAGATTTGCGCTCCATGAGTTGTATATTGACGAGGTCACGTGCGACATAGTTTCATTGGATGTTTGTCAGGTTATACTGGGCAATCCCTATTTGTGGGATAGATACGCGATCTACAAAAGACGGGCTCAGAAGTACACATTCACCAAAGATGGTAAAAAGTTTATATTTCGTTCGGCGTCTCTTCCGAAGGAGACCAATTTGGTGACGGTGAACCGAGCGAAAAGGCTAGTAAAAGCAAGAAGTTTGTTGCGCTATGCATTGGTTCTTATGAGGAGCCACTAAAAGAGGGTTGCAATTTGGAGTGGAAGGTGACTACGAAGAGACGCGGGACGAAGGAGTTGTTTCTGATCGGACGTCGAGACTAGATTCCTAGCAAGGCCAAGTGGTTCCGAAAAGGAGGAGCTCGCGAGTTCCCTCAGCTATAGTTCTAACTTGAACGGGACTTCAAGTTCCTAAAGGGGGGAGTCATGATACGGGTGTATCTTCTTCCTTGCTTCGGGGGCTTAGCGACCCTCATGAGAGCTTGAGGATAGATGATTCTCATAGTATCTTGAGAATAGAGACGTGGACGAAGTCGTTGAAGACAGCAACGTCGAAGATTATAGGAAAAGACTTCAGGAGGCATTTTGAGCTTCCAGTGGTCGACCGCACGTGACGCCGCAGTCGACCGCGAACGTGCACAGCACAGAGAAAAGTCCCTGGACTTTTCGCGGTTGACCGCGACGAACTCGGCGGTCGACCGCCAAAACCCTATAGTTGATACTGAGTTTCGTTCGTTCTATCCGGTCGACTGCATGTGTCTCTGCGGTCGACCGCGATGGTTTCATAGGCCTTCCTGGTTCGTTTGGGACTCTGTTTTCCTATTGATTTTGGTTTGTTTAATTATAAGTTTGTCATCCACATTGCAAACTATATAAATATGATTGTTTTAGGGTTCTAAACAATCAGAAATCAGAGAAAGAGATAAGAGGTGAGATTCTAATCAAGAGATTAGGGTTTAGAGAGAATTGGGAGATTGTTCCTGATTCTAGAGAGATTGTGAGAGAGAGGGATTTGTAATCTATTATTCTCATAATCTAGAGAAGGTATTTTCCTTCATAGGAAAAGACTTCAGGAGGCATTTTGAGCTTCCAGTGGTCGACCGCACGTGACGCCGCAGTCGACCGCGAACGTGCACAGCACAGAGAAAAGTCCCTGGACTTTTCGCGGTTGACCGCGACGAACTCGGCGGTCGACCGCCAAAACCCTATAGTTGATACTGAGTTTCGTTCGTTCTATCCGGTCGACTGCATGTGTCTCTGCGGTCGACCGCGATGGTTTCATAGGCCTTCCTGGTTCGTTTGGGACTCTGTTTTCCTATTGATTTTGGTTTGTTTAATTATAAGTTTGTCATCCACATTGCAAACTATATAAATATGATTGTTTTAGGGTTCTAAACAATCAGAAATCAGAGAAAGAGATAAGAGGTGAGATTCTAATCAAGAGATTAGGGTTTAGAGAGAATTGGGAGATTGTTCCTGATTCTAGAGAGATTGTGAGAGAGAGGGATTTGTAATCTATTATTCTCATAATCTAGAGAAGGTATTTTCCTTTGCCTAAAACTGAATTGTTCTTGTGTTTTTCTATCGTCTTCTTCACAACCCACTCTTGATAATTCCGTGATCAAGGGTGCTTATCTGGCGACTCGTACCAATTAAAAAGTATTGGTTTCAAGAAAATACTATCAGCAGTCATCCGAATGAACTGTGCTTGTTTGAGAACAAAGAGTTGGCTATTTCAAATATAACTGGAGTTCATGGTATGTCCATGTAATGAATTGAATGGCCCCAGCTCCATAGACGAAAACAGATTACAGAAGCAAAATGAATGATTATCAGTTGTAGAAAATGTTAGAAAAGACTAGCTAGTGCATACAATTATATTACAAATACTTAACTAAACAAACAAAGCTTCTTGGAGATTTGCAATAGGAAATTGTCAAAACATGATTGAGTTGAATGATTTGGATTAGATTACCGAAACAATAAAAGATTAAAAGTAGCTGTCCATAATAAATAATCAATTTTAAGAGGCAACGCGACAATGAAAATACAAGAACATTTTACGAATACATCTACCTTGGAAAACACATCTCGGATATGAAACATTTGACCATAAGCAGTAAAAACATAATAACTGACCTCCTCTGAGACCACCATGTACATATATCTGAGACCCAACGGAGGCAACCGCATGGCGGCAACGACGGAGAAGCTCAAAAGAAGCATCACGATCATTAGCAGAAGACTTGTTCGACCGGGATGAAGTGGTAACAATTCCATTCTTATCCAACCATACCCCAGCAGCAGTATCCAGAACTTTATGAAGAAATACATGATAAGTAAAATTCATTGCACATATAGCAAACAAGAAAAAGTGGAGTAAACATATGCTATGAGTTTACCTGCAACTGCACCTTCACCTTCAATACTTCTTCCCCCTCTAAGAACACCTCCAGTTACATGCAACCGCGCGCCGACAAAGACCTGTTACATGAACTATCGCAAGAAGCTAAATAATATGGTAGCAAATATTTTACGCAAAAGGTATCCAATGCCATCCAGCTAGTAGGCTTATAATGCTTCAGACACATGCAACACGCAAACATATAGATGGTGGAGAGAATAAAAACACTCGACTCATCGGCATATGACAGTTGTATCATTTTTCCCTTTTTCTTTTTTGAGGAATAGAGAATACACGATATTGTGGACGACATGCCTCTCTTTGTTATATTAATAAAACTTTCATCATCCACACTTGAATTAACTTGAATTGGCACCTATAATGAATTACTTACCGCTGCATGCTGATATCTTGGTGAGGGGGATACACCAGGAGCTAGAGTCCATTCCCACTGACCATTGGTATGCATGAGTAGCCCATAAGCATCTGCTAGTGGCTGTAAGTAATTTGATATTAGTTTAATTAATAATTTGCGGTACCCAAAACTAAATTAGATGGATAATTTTTCCACGTGTGTAAAGAAGCATACAAAAAACTATACGAAGTATGAAACATAAAGACACTTGTAAATGAAAACTGAACTAAAACTGTATCCCACATCTACCAACATGAAGAGTTTTGTACCATAAGCTCAAATGATGTGTCTTAAAACCTTTTCGCTGAAGCTACTTTATACAGTTGAATAAATATCTTAGTTGTACTATGCAGTAACAAGTATGCAAGTGCTTCGTTGGTTTGGAAATGAAATCAAACAGCAGAAATAAATTTCCCCACATTTGAGTAGAAGAGCGCATATATAGTTTCAATATACAAAAACCAAGGCCTTAACATGGTGGATCATATGACTCTAAAAGGCATGATGATTGTTGCCTAGAAGATTTGATGGAGTTCCTTTAGTGGAGACATGCACACACATGCAGCCATACATAAAAAAGAAAGAACAAGAATATCCAGATATGGAAAGAATATGAAAGCCGAACATGCAATTGCACACAAAGAAAAAAGAAAAAAAGAAAAAACTTCAGGGATGTGGAGAAAAGGGATGTCTAAAGATACAAGTATATAGAAGATAGTGTAATTTGGTAGTAGTCCCTCACAAATCTAGGATTTGATACAAATTTCACATCTTGATGAAGGATACTGAGGCCCATATGAAGGGATTTGAAGGATAGAGCATTTCATATCATGCTCACTCTGCCTATTGTTCAATGAATAGTATGAATATTAAGATTGACAATGACTCATACCAGGTGTATTTTCCTAATTGAGTTATATCAATTCAAAAGTTCAAACTTATACAGAACCAGAAAAGGGAAGAAAACTAAACTTCTGAAATCCCATGGGAAAACATATACAAGTAAAAGGGAATAGGCTTCACAATCAGGCATCTCTGGCAGAAGTCGCTGTAGTATGTACGTATCATCAAGATGATGTACTCAGAATAATGGAAATTTCCTGGTCAAGACCAATAGCAATTATCCGAGTTTCAGATACCGTGCTTCTAGGCCAAAAACATGATACTAAAGTCAAACATGAATACCAAGATAACAGCTCAATTATCAAGATGTGGTCCACTATGAATTTGTGAACAAAGAAAGCGCTATCCCACCAAAAAGTTTCCAATAATCCTAGTGTAAAAGTTAGAATTTCCAATCGCGAAATGGCACACATTAAAGATAATTTCTAACTGATCTTTAAATCTGATGTATGTTTGAGATGACCTATTTCTTCAACTTTCTTACGGATTCAGAAAAAAATTTAAGTGATGAATAATGTTGAAAAGCTACAATGGATTCTTACCATGAAATTTTCTCCAAGGCCAAGTTAGAAAGAGATATCTAGTAAACAGAACTTCTAAGCCTAGACAGGCATTCAGATCTAGCAACAACAACACTTTCTATGACTTCACTGCCTCATATCATGTATGTGAGACTACAACATGTTTTTCTCTCTTTTATTTATTTATTTTACTTCTATTGCCTGAACTTCAGAAAATCCTTCACATTCTTAAGATTAAAACTGTGTGGAAAAGGTTTCTTCTCTGAAATGTTATAGCTATATAGAATATGAATGAGGTATTATGCTGGTGGAACTCTCCCAGGTGATTCATTCTATGGTATATCAGCGGAAATTGAAACCAATCATCGAAAATACACTTTCTAAGTTTCAAGGATATCACCCAGGGTCCCAGGTCTATAGGATACCCCAGCAGGTCCAGACCGTAAAACATTGTTTTTCCTACCAGAACTCATATGTATGCTCATTCTCTGGCACACAAAACCTACCTCTCTCTTCCACCTCAAATTCCTTCAGATTTCAGCAATGCTCAGCATTAATAAACACCATTGAATTGGTAAAATTAACTGCTTTATGAGGCCCAGTGCCTCATGTAAATGATGTAAAATCAGGTCTGAGGTGTACACCTTTGGCAATGCTACAACTCAATTTTTAGTCAAATCGTATACTATAAAAATTCTGAATGGGTGAGAGCATCATTAAATTGGTTAAGCTCTGTGGAAAAGGTGAGGAAATATACTGTTCCAGAAATGTCTCTCCCACCACATAGCAAGAGCATCCCATCTGAACGTGCACTAGCTGTTGCATACCTGCAAGATGCATCAAAAATATCCAGTTCGTGAAGGAAGCAACCAGGACAACATTTAAGAGCACATATCAACTGCAACAGATAGTTTAAAGTATTATGATGGTATAAACTATACAGTCAAAATGTAATTCTCAGGAATTAAGGCACCACAAAACATGCAAACACCGAGTGACTTCCTAGACTGTACAAATAAAATATGTTGAGAATTCTAGAAACACTGAATAGTGAACACCTATATATTGATATTACTGTGATGACAAAATGGCCGATCAAAGTGTATGACATTCATACCAAGGACGAAGAGAGAATAAAACCATAAACAACGCGACACAAATATAAATATAGGTGTAATGATGGGATGCACAGTGAAATATAAAACTGGTTCAGAAATTCTAGAAAAGTGAGGACACAATACATCAGGGACACATTCTTTACTAAGAAAATAACTCAATCTATATCTCATAAATAAAGCTTAACTTCTATGTAAACATCCATTGTCCCCATGAATATAATAATACGATACTACCAGCACATTGCACGTAACACCCTGGCCCTGATCTTACAATTCAGAATAGACAAAACTTTCACAGTCATAATCAGATAATGATTGAAAACCAATTGAATCTTCACGACCAGCTGCTGGATCTTCCAACTTTAATTAAGGATCTTGCACTGTAATTGGTGTCATAGTATCATACCTGGGTCCTTCCCATGTGAAACAAACTGAAAACCATAGTTCAAAGAGAAAACAATCCACTTCGCTCACGATTCAAAAACAATCCATTTCGCTCATGATTCAATGCAAGAAGCGGCTTGGTCTAGTCCGTTCCCACAACTGGTCAGTCAAATCGGTCTGATCCAAAAAGGTGTAATGCCCAGTTATGGATGTCGTAACTGGTTCACTTGGGCCTTTAACCAGCCCAGTCAAACTGCATCCATCGAGATCTAACTAAGTATTGCAGCATCTTCTTTGTTTTAAGTTCCCCTCTAAGATCCGCTTTTTTCAAACTAGATTTCCTTTCATGGCCACCATTGTTGAAAGCCTGACAATTGAATCTAACAATTCATTTTTCATGCACAGTCTAACCTGTGCACCAAATTGAACAGCACATGAGGTGTCCCAATGCATTATCAGTTCGGTGCAGGCCCTGAGATAGAGGCTAAAGGCCATGGAAGTAGGGAAAAGATAAGCAAGTAAGGAATGGCTAACTTCCACCAAGGGTAAAGAATAGAAGTACCAAGCTAGTTTCAATCTAAGGGAGAAACATACAAAGATGTAATCCTTCGTATTTGTTTTTTGCCTCCTATCTACTAAAGAGATTTGATAGGCATGCATGGACTGCCTAACAGCTAACCTGTTTAATCTTCACTAAAGCCAAATTAATGAGAATATACAGGCGATGAAGGACCTGGTGATAAAAAAAAGCTAGAAAACTTGGTGATAAAAAAACAGCTAGAGTACTCTCATTTCAGTTAGTAAATAAACAGAAACTTGATAATAAAAAACAGCTAGAGAAATGTCACTTAAATCAGCACAAAAAAAGTGTAATTCTTGATATAAATATCCAAGAATCCCCACAAATAAAATTCCAAGCTTATGTTGAAGAAATATCCAACAATGGGATGTAGGTAGATTCTAGAATTGAACCTGTACTTGGTGATAAATGATAATTGTATTAACTTGAGGGAGCAATGGCAGAGTAGGTCTTGAACTACACTCTTCTCGGTAGGCATTGATAATAGGGTTCAGATCCATACATCCTTGATTGTAGAGAATTTCCACAATTGGTTATGTGGATGGATAATATTGGCTCGTCCAGTGGATCCCACAATTAAAAGATATTTTTACATAACTTATATAAAGAATATCATTCATGCGGCCATAGAAAAGAATAGATGTTATTGGTGGCTTGTTGAGATCCTCTACAAGCAAGGATGTTATTGGTGAATTGCCGAGATTCTCTACAAGGAATGATGCAAGGGATCTCTAGCCTTGACAATAGTACTCATGTTATGGTACTGATCTGGGTCAACTAAATTGAGCATTATGGCATGCTATCAACAACAATTTCATAACTTATATACAGAATATCATTCATGCGGTCCATAGAAAAGAGTAGATGTTATTGGTGAATTGTCAAGATTCTCTACAAGCAAGGATGCAAAGGATCTCTACTCTTGATAATAGCACTCATTTTATAGTACTGATATGGGTCAACTAAATTAGGCATTATGGCATGCTATCAACAACAAATTCATAAGAGTTCTGAGAATAAGCCCGAGTCGCAGTTTCCATGTTAAATGGATAAGCATCAACATAACTCAAAAGACAAATACACAGGTTTACCATACATTTCCTCTATATTAAACCATCATGTATGTTAAAAGGAATGAAAAAAAATTAACTTCTAAATCAACCATAGCTAGAAAGAATATTATGAACAGACTTTTTGTTCTTGTTGGTTTACAATTGCTATTAGAATGCAATCTTATCCATTAAATTAAGTATTTAAAGTATATATAATTACATTCTAGCAGAAGGTTTGTCTCCAACAGGATTAAGTTTCTGCCATCTGTAGGGTTTCTGTGCAGTATCCAGAGCCCAAGCATCCGAGAGGACCCTCTTTCCTGTAAAGACGAAATAAAATAAGTTTCAGTATGCTGATTTTCATCAAGTATCAAGTACTAGTAAAATATCTTCCATGAACATACATAAGAATGTCTTGGAAGGAATAACCAATAAACAACCAACAAAGAAAAAATTGTAAAACTCAGGACACCTTATAAAAAAGATTTTTTTTTAAAAAAACAACACTGTCCAGTGTCCACAAGGGGCTATTTTAAACTCATGCAAGGATAAATGATAACCAGGGTTTCAAATCAACATCATAAAGTAGTCCAAATACAATGAACATGTATATGTATGGGAAAACAGAAAATCGCATAACCTGCATTCTCACAAATTTCATTCTCTTCCTACCTGCTTCAATATCCTTTAGTTATTTATTCTCAGCTTCCACTTAGAACTACTCCAAGTTATTCTCTCGCCTTCTTGGTACTATGTCTTCACTTAGAATTTTTGAGAATGATTCACCTCTTGACTCTTATTACTCCTGGACTATAAGATCTCTTTGACTTCATCCTCATCTTTATAGAAACATCAACATGACGTCTAATGGTTTTCATTCTCGAAAGCCTTACACTTGTCAACATATCCACATTATTCAACCCCACGTATTGTTCTGCCCTATTCAAGACGATTACCCACCTCATGCTACTTCTAGAACACACTTCAGTTTAATTATTTTACATTCCAAGTCCACCTCTTCTCTCATTTAAGGCTTCTCGTGCGAGTATTTCCATCATGAAACAAACAAAATTAGGACATCTTGCAGGCAACCAATCATATTCAATTGGCAACCCCTCTACCATTATTTTGTAAGTTACCTTACTTTTTTGGCATTAATTTCAGTCATGCACTAAGCAAATGTTAGCTGCTCTCCTTGAGCAGTGGGTGCTTCCATAGAGTGTCCTTCCAACCTCATTTGCAGCGTTTGAGTTCATTCACTACAAATGCGATCCACATTACACAAGGAAACATCAGTCCTCTACCAAACCTGCATTAACTCGCCATATCCTCACTACCATTACCTACAATGAAGACCCTCAATAAAAAATCAGTGTTGTAGACTTGTAGTCTTAGGGCCTGTTTGGCAACCTTATAAAACTAGGCCAGGTTTGAACCAGGTCCCGTTTTAAGGTGTTTTCTAACTGGCAAAAGGTGGGCCAGAAATGGCCCAGTTTTTTTCAGTTCAATTTTAGAGGTTTTAACCAGTTTAGTTGTGGACCAGGGGTCCACAACTAAACTGGTTATCAAAGAGCCAGTTGTAAAACCAAATGTGGCCCATTTTCACAATGCCAAAAACACCCTTAGTTCCTGACATGAAAACTAATACATCTCACATGAATGTGTCTCCAATCATGAGGCCAACCTTTCAGAAGTGACTTAAATTTATTACTGGAAGCATGATTCCTTTGTGAAGTTGTAAGCATACAGGGCAGTACGGTGCGAGCTCAACAGACCAGCAGTTTGTCTTTTTCTTAAGCAAATGATATACATGCAAGTTTCTCCAAATTGGCCGTGACAGCAAAATACTTTCCCCTTCATCAATAAACTGTTCTTGAATTGTGTGTTTGTGGGGTATGTGTGCATATTGGAGGATGGAACTCAGGGTGTATCAGGGTGGGTGGGCTGCGAAATGGACAAGGTAGCTCGATACCTTTAGCTTATTTATTCAACTATCCTTAAAATCATGAACAGAGTGCAAGATATATTTGTATGGAGCAACATGAATCTCAGAAGCAAACCGTAACCATATTAGTTATGCAAATCCTTTCCAGGTGAATCCATGCTAAAATACTTGGGAGTGTTTTGCATGATCAACCGTTTTCTTAAGTTTCATGTCCCTCCTTTTTTTCATTGAAAAGAAAGAGCATATTTGCATCTCACAAACAAAATCCACAATCTACAGTGCAAGTATCTGACATTTTCCTTCTCTTTTCAGACTTTTTTCATTGGGAGGCTGTTTGATTGGTTTACCAAAATAACGTGAAACCAATTTTAGAACAAAAAGGTAATTTTTAGTAGTTTCCATGGTTTACTTGGAAAAGGTTTATTTTTGTTTAGTACACCCCTAAATCAATGGTTGAAATGGTTTTCCACCTTAATCAGTAGTATGGATGGGAAATAGAAAATAGGAAAGAAATATGTTTCCTCAGCTTCTTGTGCTTGTTTGGTTTGGAAACATCATGGAAAAAGGTGTTTGCTTTAGTTTGGAGAAAATGTCTCCCAAGTCCCCCATTATTATAAGCCTAATTAATTGATTTCCAACCCATTTCAGAGCTAAACCCTCTGAATTGGGTTTCCTTGTTTTGGTGATGTGGATGGGGTTTTCAAGGGCCGCTTTCCTCAAGTCTTGAAATGAAACAAACTAAAGCATTGGGGGGGGGTCCACTATGACTGTGTCAGAGCATGGAAATCAATTTTTAGGACTTTTCCATCCTATCCAAACAGGCCCCAAGAAGCAAACACCCAGCGAATAGTGTAATCAAGTTATAGCTTGTCCTTAAATCTAAAATCTTCTGACATGAATATATAATTCATCATAGCAACTACTTCAATCTAGAAAAAATGACTTACCATCGTTCCCACTTACTGACACAAGATAACGCTGAGCAACCAAATCCATGGCATGGCCATAGCGAGGTCCTGGACCATCCCCTTGAACCACCAACCTGTAGTACAAACACACCCCAATCAATATCTTAACACACCAAACAAAACAAAGAACTCTTTTTCATTCAAAAACCTTACCTATGCCACTTATATTTATCGTTCGTCAAATCTAACACATAGAGGTCATCAGTCGAATGTCCGGCAGGGCCTATGCCACCCTAGCAATTAGAAATAATTCAATCAGTCGTCTTTCTCATTTAAAGAAGAAAAAGATAAAAACATCTACAAAATCCTAAAAATATGTGGAAATTTGAAGATTTATTACCTGAAATACAACCATAGTGCCCACTGCTGCTGCAGCATGGGCAGCCCGAAGGGATGGCGGTTCTCCAGCAGGGCGTATTCTGTCAATAAAATATACAACTTGCATCAACTGAACTCCCATGAACAAATGCTAATTTAAACCGATAAGTCATATATTTTATTGCAAAATAGTATGTTCACAAAAGAACATCACCGTAATAAGTAACTTTTTTCCATTACAAAAAAGAGAATTCAACTGTTTTTTCCCCTAAACCCAGTAAGAAATTCAACAATTCTAAACAAAATAAGTTCCCCAGAAAGGAACCAAGCAAAAAACCTCAAACTCAAAAAAGGGAAGTATCAGTACCAAATCTCACAGCCCTAATACCAAAAAAGTTACCTTTTACCATTAAAACGAGGGGCATGATCAAAAGAATTCCAAAAAAAAAAGCTAAAATTTTCCAGCAAAGAGCAAGGATTGAAACCTGGTCCACTTCTTGGTCTCAACGTCATACGAGTGCACCGAATTCGTCACTCCATCCAGCCCTACTCCAAAGAAATCACAAAAATTACCAAAAAAACAGTTCAGCGGATCAAGAGAGCCGAGGAGAGGTTCGAGGTAAATTACTGATTCCGGAAGGGCCGCCCTCGATGGCGGTGGCGCCGCCGAAGAGGATGAGCCTCGTGGCCGTGGTTCTTGGTGGCGGGCCACCACCGTCACGCGTGTGGTGCGCCAGCGCGGGCCGCGCCAGTCGTCGTCGGAGTCCCACCGTGACTCCGTCGCGCCTGTATCTCGGGGCTGGCACCATCCATGGCTTTGACCCCATCGCCTAGGGTTAGGGTTTTTCTCCCTCCTCGCCGCTGACCGGAGATATTTTTTTGGGGGGGAGGGAGACGGGATCGAAGTGGGGGGTGTTTATTTAGTGAGCTGAGAGGGTTTTCCCTGGACTCTCGAATGGGACTGGCGCTTAAGGGTTTTCGAGCTCTGGGTTTCCCTTTTAGGGCATCTCCAACCCTTTGCCTCAAAATGGTGCAAATTTTGCACCAAAATGGTGCAAAAGTCACATCTAACAGTAATTCATCTCCAACCCATTGCACCATTTTTTGCACCAAAAAGGAATATTCTCAGTATCTTTCTTTTTATCTACTTTTATATGATTATTTTTTATTCCCTATATTTTTAACTATTTCAACAATTAACCTCACATATCAAATTTTATTTTTTCACATATTTTCCAAACAAAATGATTTATTATTTAAAAAATTAAACTAATAAAACAATAAAATATTATATTTTTATTATTAATATTGCCAAAATATTACATTTAAGAATACAACAGAAGATAAAATACAAGAAAATAATTAAACATTAACAACAATATAAAAATTACAAATTTAGTATGCACTTAACTATCTGAATTAGTGTATTCCTCCCATAGATGATCTATCAATGCATTACGAAGCGCAATATGGGCATCTTTATCCTTGATTTTTCCGTAACGTGCAATAAATTGAGTAAATCTTGTAGTTTCATCTGCTACCATATCAACTTCTGGTGTTGGTGCTTCCCTCACTTCTTGAATTGGTGCATAAAGATCACGTTCATCCTCGATTATCATATTGTGCATAATAATGCATGCAGTCATTATGTCATGTAATACATGTTTTTTCCAAAAACGTGCTGATCCTGCCACGATTGCAAATCGTGATTGGAGAACTCCGAACGCACGTTCTACATCTTTTCTACATGCTTCCTGTTTCATGGCAAAATATTTTTTCTTCCTACCTTGTGGCTGTTGGATTGTTTGTACAATAGTAGCCCATTTCGGATATATACCATCAGCTAAATAATAACCCATATTATACTCTTTTCCTTGAATAACATAGTGAGCGGGAGGAGCAATACCTTGAGCTAGGTTAGAGAAAAGATTAGATGACTCCAGCACATTGATATCATTATTGGTGCCTGGCATACCAAAATATGCGTGCCATATCCAAAGATCATAATCTGCCACAGCTTCGAGGATAATAGTTGGTGACCCACTACGTCCTGTGTATTGCCCAGACCATGCTGTTGGACAATTTTTTCATTTCCAATGCATAAAATCAAGACTTCCTAACATTCCTGGAAAACCACGTTTTTTTCCAATATAGAGTAGCCTAGCAATATCGTTAGCGTTAGGTGTTCGTAGATACCGCTCTACGAATATTTCCACCATAGCACGACAAAATTTTGTCATACTTTCAATTGCTGTTGACTCACCTATTTTAACGTATTCGTCCGTAACATCAGCTGGTAGACCGTATGCCAACATGCGAAAAACAGCTGTTACTTTCTGTAACGGTGATAATCCCATTCTACCAAGTCCATCACTTCGTTGTTGGAAGTAATAGTCATGATCTTTCACTGCATCAACAATACGAAGGAACAAACTTCTTGACATCTGATATCGACGACGAAACATATCTTCTCCAAAACGTGGATTATCGGCAAAGTAATCAATGACCAAATTCTGATGCGCATTTTCTCGATCGCGGTTGATCACTGCATGACCGGGAATCGAGCCACCATGGATCGGTTGGTAGTTGTGTTGATGTAAACTGTTAACGAGGATCATGTTGTTGTTGATGTACTCACAAATTACTTCTTCGGTTTCATCAATCTCTGCAATGATATTGGACAGAAAATTATCATCATCCGAAGATGAAGATGATGATAAGTATGATGGACCTCCAACATCAAAATTCATCTTTGAAGTAAGAAAAGAATGACTGAAGTATGCAGAAATGGAGAATAACAATTTTAACACAACAACGAGTAATTGTGTGGATGTACCTAATCTAGTATGCTATTTATAAAACTTTGCTTAGCTGTATACATTGAACAATGTGTAAAGTTGAGCTGATTTTAGGAAATACTTTCTAGCTGTTATCAATTTGTCACAAAATTCAAATTTGCTTTTAGCTGTATATGTTGGACAATGTGTAAAGCTGACCTGATTTCAAAAATTGATTCCTACTCGTACAAAGCTTTCACACAATCCAAGGAGAGCTGAGCTGTGTATACGTTGGACAATGTGTAAAGCTGACCTGATTTCAAAAATTGATTCTCACTCGTACAAAGCTTTCACACAAACGTTGGACAATGTGTAAAGCTGGCCTGATTTCAAAAAATGATTCCCACTCGTACAAAGCTTTCACACAATTCAAGGAGAGCTGAGCTGTGTATACGTTGGACAGTGTGTTAAGCTGACCTGATTTCAAAAATTGATTCCCACTCGTACAAAGCTTTCACACAATTCAAGGAGAGCTGAGCTGTGTATACGTTGGACAATGTGTAAAGCTGACCTGATTTCAAAAATTGATTCCCACTCGTACAAAGCTTTCACACAATTCAAGGAGAGCTGAGCTGTGTATACGTTGGACAATGTGTTAAGCTGACCTGATTTCAAAAATTGATTCCCACTCGTACAAAGCTTTCACACAATTCAAGGAGAGCTGAGCTGTGTATACGTTGGACAATGTGTAAAGCTGACCTGATTTCAAAAATTGATTCCCACCGATAACGTTGGATAATGTGTAAAGCTGATCAGTTTGTACAAAATGATTCAATTTCAAATGTTGACCACCGATAAATTCAAATTCAAATTTAAATTCAAACAAAAAAAACAAATTTAGACTGGCTATAAATAACATTCACGAATTCTACTTCAAACCACCCAATTCGAAGTATTTCTTCAAAGTATTTCTGATCTCCAAACAAATCGCTTTTTACAAAAAAATGTCTGTTCGATCAACTGGATACACGGTTACTGAAGATGTGCTCCTTTGTCAAGTATTCTTGGATATTTCTCAAGACCCTATTATCGGTAGAAACCAGTCTCGAGATGCATTTTGGTCTCGTGTGGAGGACAAATACAATGAACTTCGAGATCAGCATTTTGAGATGCGTGTGAGCCGACGTTCTCGAATGGAAATCATAAGTAATGAAGTAAGGAAATTGAATGCGTGCTTGAGACAAGTAGAGAATTTGAATCCAAGTGGTGCTTCAGATGAAGATATTGTAAGTATTCTATAAATTATCGTCTGAATTTTATTATTATTGTTGAAATACATAACTTGATGTTCACTATAATTTGCAGTTAGTTCGAGCAAAGATGTTATTTATGCAAGAACCAAAGTACAAAAAAGGTTTCAAATTTGATCATGTCTGGAATATGGTTAAAAATTTCAAAAAATTCAAAGATGATGTCCCCACAGCAAGACAAGTTGGTCGAAGACAATCCCAAAGTGTGAACTTCGACTCGTCACAATCAGATAATCCCACTCCGGAATCTCCTATATCAACATCTCCTGGACTGTCATCATTTACTCCACCTGAACGACCTATTGGGGTAAAAAATCCCAAATTAAAAAGGAAAAATGATGATCATGAGTCAAGTGTAGTGGACTCCATCGAGACCTCCAACAATCGACTTATAGACAGGTTAGACAAGGCGAGCTTGGACAGGCAAGTAGCGTTTGATATCGAACGAGAAAAGATAGCCATGAAAAAAGATAGAGATGAATGGAAAATTATAATGAAAGATTTGAATTCCATTGCTGATCCAAACGTGCGTGAGTACGTTCGAGCTCAACAGATTAAAATAATACAAAAAAGAAATCAACAAGAACAAGGATCTGCTTCTAATTTTGGCATATTAGACACTCTGGCCCCGATCTACCAGATTATTGAGAGTTGCTTGACCATCTTATGTAATGTTCCATGTTTAGTTTGTATTTTATGTTTTATTTTAATGAAGTTTTATATTATGTGTGTCAGTTTTTATATGTTATGTATTCCAGATATGTAATTTATATTTGAATTATGTATTATGATTGCTCTTTATAATTCATGGGACTTTACTTATAATGTCTAGATTTTAATAGTATAATTAATAATAATATCTTTTTAATTTCAGCATTATTTTTATTTTTAAAAAATAATTTATTTTGTCTAAATTATATAATTGGGGTAAAATTATAAAATTTAAATATTATTAGGGTTGTTTTATACATGTAATAAAATAATTGGGGTCAAGTTGTAAATACATAAAAATATGAGGTAAAATTTAAAAAAAAATTAAAAAAAATAAAAGAAACAGTAATGCGGAGATGAACAGTGCGACGCCAAATATAGCGTCGCGCTGTTCATCCCCGCTAAAATGCAGCGAGAATTGGCGCCGCGTTGGAGCTCCGGAGCAGCGGCAAATCCGCTTTTTGCGGTAGCGTCACGTTCGAGATGGTCTAACTTCTCACTAATCCTAGTAAAATTCAAAGGATATAATTGTTTGTTGACAGGTTGAGGGAGTATCTAGTGATCATGATTTATTAGGTTAACAAAATCCCTATTGTGGACACGTCCATAATTCTAAATTCACTCATGCGCATCTTTTTTGTATGTTTTTGAGGAGCGAACAAGATCTTGGTGTGTCCCTCCACACTATGTGGCTGATGCGATACAGATTTAGGGGATGTTTGGTTGCACAATTTTATAAAAAAAATTTCTCAAAATGTCTGATAATGACAATTCTATAATTAAAAATTTTCTGTAGATTTACGTAAATTGTGTTTAGTTCAAAAAAATTTACAGAAATGTTTTCTGTAAAGTACAAAAAAAGTACCAACATTTACAGAAATCAATTTCCTCTCAAAATGGGCAGAAATCACCCAAAAATCTGACCACATTGATATTTTTCTATAAAATTGACACTTTCTATAAATTTAAGGGGTGTTTGGTTCAATTTCTATAAATTATAGGAAATCTTGCTATTTTCTATAAAGTTATGGATCATTTTCTTGTTTTGAACCAAACAAGCAAAATAAAAAAAAATAAAAAAATTGGTACTTTTTGACTTCTCAAAACTTTTCCTATAATTTTTTTAAAAAATACAAGGAAATCATATTTTGAGTGAAAAACATTTCTTATAATTTGTAAAAATTAAACCAAACAACCCATGCACGCAATATAGATCGATGTAATATTAATGATAAATATACTCAGATAAAAAAGGATCTTTTGGACATGTGTTAAATTATCCAACATACCAGCCAAGTACATAAAAATAACGCATTTGTCCCCATTAACTATTTTTTCCATACTTCATTAACACAAAACCACTGAAAATATTTGCTGTGAATTTAGAAACCAATTACTACTATGCAAAATTGCAACTGCAGTTGCATATGCAATTTTAAAAAAAAAAAGGAGTTAAAAAGAGCGTTGTTTGTTACAACACAACTACAATCACAGCTGTCACCTTGATGTGAATGAAACAAGCTCTAAAAAAAGTCTACGGGTTTGACTTTCAGAGTCAAACAATGTATCTTCCATAATCCACAAATTAAAACACATTCCCATCTGAATCTAGAAGTCATGAGCACAAAATAAAAAGGAGAGAAAACTTTGAAGGATATATGTGAAAGGGAGTTTACTGGGCATTAGAAAACAAAAGGAAAAAGGCATTATTTATTTAATTAAATGGGAAAGCGTATATTCTTGTGTAGCCCACAAAGACAAAAACCCATGACCTTTATGATTGAAAATGGCAAATTCACTTTTAAATTTGAATCATTACCTTCCAATACAACGGTATGGGCGTGCAAATGTCTGCCAGCTGTTCCACACTATCAGAAGAACAATAGACGTTAACATGTGGAAGCAGTTTGGTTCTGAAAAAAAATTATAACTGTAGTCGCAACTGCAACTATCTTTTAAAAATTTTATGCCAAACAACCCAATGTACATTAAAAAAATATGCCTTCATATAAAGCTACACCAATTGGAACAAAAACAATGAGGCAATTGAAGTGGAATTGATATATTTTGGCTCTGTTGTCTATTGACTTGACCGATGTCAGAAATTTCAAGAAAATTCAACTGGCGATGAAGCATAGCAGCTGGCGACAGAGTCCCTTGATGACGATAGCTAAGCATAGAGCCAAGAACAACCATTTAACTTCGACTTCGTTGATCTCAAATCCCAAATTTCTTAGCTTTCACGCTTTGCCTGTTAAGTCAAAAACACGAAGTCAATAAGTACATGATTATTCCCTCCCACAATCAGAAGAAAATCTTGTGTTCCTCTAGAAGCAAATGCTAGAACTGGGCATAGACAATGACAAGTAGATAAATACTGAAAAACATAAGAAAACTTTGTTTCCTGATAATGAAATGAGATATCTATTTTTGTACAAGAAAAACTTTGAAAACTAATTGGACAATAAACCATGAAGATAGTACAAGCGAAGCAACATTACAAATTCCCATAATATATCAAGGATCACAGCTGAGTTACTCTCTCCATTCCTCGCGTGCAAATAAGAAATAAGCAGATATGAGTAAGCAGATGCCTGTTTTTGGTATAAATATATCTCCATCTGTAATAAATACACTTTCTCGCACATTGCATAATCATGTAACCCAATGAATACGTACTTACGAGCAATAAGAATCCAGTGATTCCTGCAAACTCCATGAGACGATGCCAATCATGGGCAAGGATTTGGAAATCTAGTATGAACTTCATTGATCTCTGATATAATCTCTGCTGAGAGATGGACATTAGAAGCTTCAAGGATCTCCGCAAGCTGCCATGGTTTGGTTGCCCCGAAAACAGCACTGGCAATAAGGGGGTGATTCAACACAAATGCTGCAATGTAGAGATCATGGAAGAAGGTAATGAAAGAAGACATCAAAAGATCATGTCTGTGCACTTCTATAGACCAATGGGAACATGAACTGCAGAAAATGAAAACATTTGTAGAATAGTACTCTTTAGCCGCATGAAGAGGAAATGCTGTATAAGTTCAGTGTTTTTGTTCAATTAGAATCAAAGAATTCTCAACATTTCCAAATTCTTATAATGTTGAGAGATTCTTTCCAAGGAGGCATGACAAAAAACTTCTTCACACCGGATTAAAACATTTATAGCAAAAAAAATCTATTGTGGTTCTTGATAATGAGATGAGATATGTGCAATAGCATCAGAATAGGATGTTGTATATCATATAACATGGAACTGAGACATTTAAAAACATGTCTGTTTCACAATGTGAAAGTGTTGTAGGGGGGTAATGGCATCTAATGTAACTACAGAGAGCTAAAACTCTTGTTCTTACCAATTGCAAGGCATGCAGGAGAAAGATTGTATTTCTCAGCAATATTGACATACTCCTGCAATAAAACATATAAGCCAAGTCAGAAAGGAATTTCACAGAATAAGATTACCTATATAATACAGTCAATGATATAAAGAATGCAAGTTAGCAATTAGAATAAACAATGTGGGTGGTTTGCACATTTAACCAAAAAGAAGGGAATGCGGGTTCCTATTACTGCAGACGCATATTAGCAATTCTACCAAGCAGCAAAGTCCACAACCAAATGGGCCTCTCGAGGAATAGTGTCGTTACACTTTGCCAACTACATACCGTGTATCACGAAAGCCATTCTGATGCAAACCCTTTAAAAGTTTATCTGCAGAAATGGCCTCCTAATAGAATGTGTTATATTTCTGTTGGAAACAGTATTAGCGAAGAAAATAGCAGTTCACTTGACCGCATACAACAAAGACCAAAGCTTTTATCCCAAATTGTCAGGGTTGGCTACAGTTCATTTGATTATAGAGCTAGGTTACAACTAGAACATCCAACTCAGACTAAGAACAATGTATAGCTAACACCATAAATCGAGAAATTTACATACTGAAATTTCATGTAAAATTTCCCAATCAGCAATGTACGCTTATCCTAAAACAGCAGTGACTCAGATCTGCAAGTAATGTTCTAAATATGGCAACCAACTGGTAGCAAGCATACAGAGTCCTAGTTGCATGAAAATTACTATTATTCCAAATTTCAACGTTTATAAGGTATTAAGGATTCCATCAGCTCCCTTCTATGGATGACTTCAAATGCCATATAGGTTGAGATAGTACACGAATGGCACTTTACTACTTAATTATATTTTGTGGGACAAGATTTCATGCTTATATAACAGGAGCTAAAAGGAACCAGGAATGGGAAATAGAATACATTCAGAGTAACTAGTTAGATAACAGGAGAAAGCAGATCAAGGTATTGACTACTGCAATGAAAAAGCGCACAGCGGAAAAGCACTCAATAAGTTGCCTTTCGCCCATGCTATTTTTAATTACAATATATTTTTATAGATTACCTTTACCGCTTCTTTTATGGTAACATTGGAAAGGTTGTATCTGGATTCACCTTCAGAATATCTCCCTAGATAAAAAATAAAGAAAATTAGAAAACAGCCAGAATAATGAATTAGCAGGTAAATGGACTTATTATACGGTAAGCATAATGGAAAAAGTAGGCATACTGCTAACCTCGGAAAAGATTCATCCGTGCATCTGACGGACCCCCATTTTCAGATAAATACTTCCCAGAGAGTATACCCATTGCCAATGGACTGTATGCCAACAGGCTTATTCTGTGAAAATCCCATGCAAGCATATCAACTTGACAAGTTCATAGTACACAATATAAAAATTAAAAGAAAACTAAGACAACACATGCAAAGTCTAAAATACAGGTAGGTACACTCATAAACATAAGCAAGGAAGGGAGGGAGGGGCAAAGTTGCCAGCTTCAAATTGTTTCTCTTCAACATTTAGATGAGATCTAAGGTTAGCAAAATTGCAACTTTCTTTATGTAGCTTCTACTGAACTAGTAATTCAGGTTCTGTCTATTTTAGAAACTATCATTAGTAATTTTGCATTTAATTTTTTTACAAAACATGTCATTAAAATATTTATTCTTTTGCTGTTCCTCCAAATTCATTGCAAAATATGCCCGCATTGTTTATTTTATTCGTTGTGTAGTCTTCCAAATATGATAAACTAAAGACATGCATCATCCCTGCATCATACATTGTAGAAATGCTAACATATAGCATGATAGAAATAAATGACACTAACAAATTACCTCTCGTGGTGGCAACATTCAGCTAATCCAGAGTCAAAATTGCGGCACATTAAGTTATAAGGGTTCTGGCAAAGAAAAGTGGCGACTTATTTTCAGAAAATAAACACAACGCAAATAGACAACAAAGATGAGGTGTTACCTGCACGGTTAATATTTTATCTTCAAGCTGCATATTCTTAGCATGTTGAAGGAACTTCATAACCCCATATGGTGTTTCATTACTTAACCCAATATATCTGATCTAGCAGCATAACATCTTTCATCTCAGAGAAAATCATACACATTATGAGATAATGCTAATGCATAGACAACAAGCAAAGAAATGCATACCTTGCCATTACCTATAGCTCTTTTAAGAGTTTCAAGCTGTTCTTCTATAAGCACAGAAGTGTATTGCTGACTGGGATTATACTCAGTTTCTCCAAACATGGGAACATAGCTGTGAATGCAGTAAGACACGTTAAGAGGGAAAATAACAATGGGGGAAGAGATGAAGTTGGAAGAAAATTTGCTAAGCCCTTATTAAGACAATAGTGCATCAGAAATAATTATTAGATGACAATTTTTTGTAAATGGGCTAGAAAATACATACAGACCGATCAGGCCAGTGTATCTGATAAAGATCAATGTAATCAGTGCACATCCTTGATAAACTGCAGCAAGGCATGAAAAAAGGTATTAGATTTAAAAATATGGATTGCATAGAAATTGTCCGCTAAACTGTAAAAAGATGACATCCACGCTGAAGCTCCATGGGTACAACATAACTTATGAATGCTGTACACCTTGAACGAATTAGCTTTGGCTTTGAGCTCAGAAAGTATTTACTTGTCTTTATGCAGGGACATGAAAAATGAACTCATTTAAACAGAGATCCATCAACCTTGCCATCAAACTCATTAGTCATTGCTAGTATTAGCGCAGAAAAAGACATCAAGCTCCATGTTATGTTATCATGCACTATCTCAACTTCGTCACTGATCAACGCATGATCTACCATAGAACTACTGATGCTAGAGTCATCTTAAGAAAGTTAGATCTATATATCAATTTGACACAGCAATTCTTGGCGATCCTATTGACATAAATAACCCTACTATATAGTTTTATTAATCATCCAGCTCTGCATGTCTGCAGTAGTCACCGGATCAAAATTCAGTTCATATTTACCATGCTGGTATGGGTTGTCGAAATCAAGGCAAGAATGCTCGGTTACATATATTATGCATGTCTAAAATTTAAGACATATGCATGCTGGGTAACGAGGGAACAGAAAACACCTAAAGTGAGACAGAGCAAGTACAGACAAAGTGAGTATATTTCACAATCTTGCTGTTTCTAGTGGAACATGTAGGACAAAATTTTAGGCCAAATTAAAGAGCTAGGGGTATGCAAAGGTAATATTATCTCAATTCCATTTTTCAAAAGGGTGAAGGGATAGATCAGCTTCCAGTAGAAGTATGAATTCAAGATTCAACTGCTGTTGAAAGTAGACCAGAGACTATGCACATTGCAGTGGATCGCTATAGGAAAAATTATCACATGACTTACTGGTCGAGAAATGAGGTTGATAAGTATATCATTATAACTAATGAGAAATGTAAAGCAATTGGGTTATTTATCTATATTTAGATTATGAATATCCTGCTGATCAGTACCATAGTGGAATTTACCTTTAATCCTAAATAATAATTATAATGATAAATGTAAATAATTGTGTTATTTATCTATATTTAGATTATTAATATCCTGCTGATCAGTACTGTAGTGAAACTTACCTTTAATGTTAAATAATAAACCTCACATAATGCAACATCAATGTTGTCAACAATAGTGTTCGTATGGTTTCAGCCAGTAAAAATACACCAGTGACAACACAAAGTAGCTTGGGACACATTCAAGGGTCAGGGAGATTCCTAGCTAAAAGCTTCTTGCCGAGGCAACTTTAGGAAGTGAGGAATCTTCCGTGGACCTCCTAGAAGGCCAACAATCGAATAATGAGAGATAACTTTCTCAAGAAGTTCAGTCTTAGAAATTAAACATTCTGACAATGGATAAAGTGGTGATTTAGCAGTTAAAGATATAATGCACATCACTGACAAAGATTTTGAAATGATGCTTAAAATAAGGCATGGTTAAGTCACACTCCTATGACGTCCAACACTGAACCAACTAAACCTACTACAGCTAAGTGTGTCCAAGTGATACTGAGTATGAAGTGGTACAGAAGAAAACTACAGCCAGATATAGACAATGAGTATCCTATCACTATCAGTAGCTCTATTTGTTAAAGAATTTTGAACTTACGAATTGCTTAACAAGTAATTTCAAGAGCAGGACGTAACAGATAAGTTTAACTGACAGGTACATGGTAAAATTTAGTGGAACCATAGACTAAACTTCAAAATTTTGCTACTCAATATGTTGCTCATAGCGTAACAATAAAAATACAAGAATTACTTCTTAGAACTTGAAAGTTAAATATTTAGGAGCTTTGTGAACATAATCTGAGAAAGTGTGGACAATTTAATAGGACCTGTTATCAACAGCTTCTATTATGTTATTGCTATCAAGAGATTTAGGCCCTCCCCGAATCCAAATCATCTGACCCGACGGCCCAGCAACCTATACATGCAGCAAATCAGTTACCTAAATGCAAAAGACATGATAGATTGCTAAAACAAAACTGCGGTTTGAATATGCCATTTAGAAACGTAGTACCATGAAATGCGCAAAATACACAAGACCATAGAATTAAATAACATCCTGATCTTGAGTGGTCACACCGACATAAGCAAACTTTGCACTATCCTTCTCTTTTGCTTGTGTTTGTTTATATATGAGTTTGCATGTTGTTCTCAACAGTAATTTGGAAAATTTTAGGAACATCCCGATAATGATTTGACAAATTACATCCCGAAAATATTAGTATAATGAGCCATTAACTATCTAATAAATTCAGATCGGACCTAGTAAATGCGCAGAGAATAACTAGATAGCCCGTGAACAAAATAAACATGGATGCTTTTCCTTTTTGTCCTAATGCGATTCTTATGGTTTTGATATAGACTCGGTGCCTAACAAATAACGTTAGAACAAGCTACAATAAATCTTATGCTTTTCAGAACTTTACTTGAAACAAATAGCTGCCCTTCACCTGCTTTCTGGGTATTTTGAACAAAATAGTAAATGCAAACGGACGTGACATGGAAAAGGGTCCTGTTTTCACCAATTAGTCATTCTGAAGTATAAAATTTATCGGAAGGGGTTCCTGCTTTCTGGGTATTTTGAATATGCCGCAGATAACCCTCTCTCCCTCGTGAATTTAGCCGTGTTACTAAAGGTACATACGAGGGGCTTACATGCAATTTACCGAAATTTCAAGATTGTGCCTTTAGAGGGGGGAGAGAGAAAAATTACAACCTTTGTAGCTAAAACAACGCGATCGCGTGGAACTCTCCGCTCTCTGATCCATCCCCCAACATACTCCTCGCTCCTCCCTTGAGTTTCTCTCCTTTGAGGGACCGGATACCTTACAAAATTCGAAACAAATAACCAACAATAATCTCAAAAAAAAAATTTAAAATTAAAAAAACTTCAACTGAAATTACATCTCGGCGCTATCGAAGAAGTTGATGCCGGCATCAAAAGCTTGATCGAGGAGTTGAAGGGACTGGGGCAGCGAGTTCTGCTCTCCGAATGTCATGGTTCCTAGAGAGAGAAAGAGAACAACTTCAGATGGAATGAAACCCTAGGGGGGAGAGAGAGAGAGAGAGAGGATTGAACCTAAGCAGAGCCTGGAGATTTTGAGATCAGGAGCGAGATTGAAGAGGGGTACTGCCATTGGATT